TAAATACTGAAATATCATTGTTTATCTCTGTGGAAAATCACACAACAGTCACTGGTAGAAAAATCATGATGGATCCCAGGGACAAGGCACATCACCTCATTTTGGCAAATCCCAATTGCCAGTCCCAACCAGTGTGTAGACGCCTTGAATCAACCCCTGGATGATAAATTAACACTTGTGTAAATTCACAGATGTAATGAGCCTACTCTAGTTGTAATTAACATTTGATTTAGCCACATGCAACAGCAACGACAAACATTACAAAATTTAGCAGCACATGTTTTGCATTCTCCAGAACTTCTGGAGGACAAATCCCTCCAGGGCTACTGGAGAAGAAGACAGGGGTCCCAAACGGGGAATTATTTTTTTTAAAAGGACCAGGAAAAGAATAAATACCACTGTCTTGCTGGGTCTTTTTCAAAGGTGTGTGTGCCATTTTGGAACTTTGTAGTAGTTGTTGTGTGCCTTCAAGTCTTTTTTTTTTTTTACTTATGGCGACTCTAAGGCGAAGCTATCACAGGGTTTTCTTGGCACGATGTGTTCAGAAGAGGTTTGCCATTCCCTTCCCCTGAGGCTGAGAGCGTGTGACTCAACCAGTGTGTTTCATGGCTGAACTACACCACTCTGGCTCCACCATTTGGATCGATGCATGTTTCAAAACAATACAGTAAGCCATGACTGTCCTTTCAGCAAGAGACAGCGTCGATTCCAGTCTTAAAAATCCCTACAATTCCCAGAATTCCATAGCACTGAGCCCTGGCAGTTCAAGTGGTATCAAATCGGATTATTTGTGCAATGCGGACGCAGTCTGGGTGAAAAGTCAGCCAAAGCAGGACTGCCCGAACTAAGCAAATGCCTAAGAGGATTTCCAGAGAAGCAGGGGGGTTGCAGACTGCCAGAAATAGTGCAAATTGAGTCCACTTTTAGGGTTAGGGTTAGAGAATCATGGGAACTGTATTTTATTGTGGTACCAGAGCTTTCTGACAGAGAAGGTTCAATGTCTCAGAAAAAAAAAACAATTCCCATGATTCCCTAGCACTAACCCTAACCCTAAAAGTGGACTCAATTTGCACTGTTTCTGGCAGTCTGCAACCCCCAGCAGTCTCCGTTGCAACAAGAACAAAAAAAGGCACCACAAAGACCCGCAAGTTTTATTTGGCCGAAGAAAGTTTCGTGGACAGCAGCCCATCGCGTCCGATGCAAAATGGGAAAGCATTCTGGAGCATGGAAGCAAGGATTTCCCTCTCAGACCGCGGCCAAGAGCCCATCGTAGCCGAAAACCCGACTTTTTTGGGATTTTCCAAAAAGCTTTCCGATGCAGGACCGCCCAGGCTCCGGAATGAACGCCGCTCCAGGGAAGCAAGACAAATAGGAAAGTCCCGTTGGTTTTGGGAAAGAAACCCTCTCATGGCAGGGGGACCAGATGTCCTCACCGCCAAGGGCCGCAAAATGTAGGACATCCCAGAAAAAAAAAATAAAGAAAAAAGAGGAGGGCATTCCCACAAGGAAAGCTAACAACACCGACAGAAATGGAAATGCATGCTTCTTAGTGATGCTCAAATTGGAGGATATTTTGGAATCCCTCCCAGGAGGAGGGAAAAAGTCCAAGGCATCTTCGTCTGTTTCCTGATCTGGTTTTGAATCCGATCGGCTTTGAAAGGGGCACCGCTTTTTTTAGGTGCCACAAACCCCGTCAGGGTTTGAGTTCAAATCCTGGGGGACTAGAGACTGAGGCACCGGGAACGTTTCTGACAGGCAGCCCACGAAATCGGAGGAAAGGTGTTTGGGGGGTTATTTCTCTCTTCTTCTGCTGCAGTCCTTTCTGACCTATGGCGACTCTAAGTATGGGACTTTCTTGGCAAGGTTTGTTCAGAGGGGGTTTGCTTGTGCCTTCCTCCGAGGCTGAGAGAGTGTGACTTGGCCAAGGTCACCCTGTGGGCTTCCATGGCGGAGCGAGGATTCGGAGCTCTGGAGCCGCCACAAACTACAATTCCCTGAATTCCATATTTGTTAGAATTGTGGTTTGGGTAATTTGTGGTTAAATTAGTTTAGCGGCAGCAGCAACAAGCGTGTATTTGGTAAAAATAACTAGATCTGAGCTTCTGGTAAACAAACAGGATACATAGGTAGGTAAAAAGAAACTTATGGGGGTTGCAGACTGCCAGAAATAGTGCAAATTGAATCCACTTTTAGGGTTAGGGTTAGTGCTAGGGAATCATGGGAATTGGGTTTTTTTTCTGAGACATTGAGCCTTCTCTGTCAGAGAGCTCTGGTGCCACAATAAAATACAGTTCCCATGATTCCTTAGCACTGAACCAGGGCAGTTAAAGTGAACTCAATTTGCACTATTTCTGGCAGTCTGCAAAGGCCCTTACTTTATTGTTACTTCTAGGTTCTACAAAAATAACTAATCAGTAGAGAAAACTATACTGTACTTTGGTACAGAGGACCCTAAATAGCTGGCCTCCCTGTGTGCAAGGAAGAAGACAAACATATTTAGAAGCAAAGCCTGGTATCTGCCTCCCTTCTTGGTAAAAGAAAGGAGGAAAAATGTGCTAGCAAACAAAGTACTGTATCATAAAACTTTATTACTCTCAGGAAAAGGAGAGGTATGGGAAGTGACCTCTTTGCAAGCAACACTGACCAAATGACCATAAAGATCTACATCAGTGTTCCTGTGTAGAGCACCCCCTTCTCAAGGAAAATATAGAGCCATGCACAAGCTAGTACTCCAACAATGGAGCCGTGGCAGCTAAAGTGGTGTCAAACCGGATTATTTCTGCAGTGAAGACTCAGCCTTAAAGGCTTCCACCGCTGCCCCAGTGGTTCCTCCTCCTCTTCCTTCTGTAGTTCTTTCTCTTTCCCAGCCATTGCTCACACTTTACAAATACCACCTTTGGCCTCCAATGCAAAGCATGAAACCAGGCGGTCGGTTTTCAAGATGGGATTAATTGTTTATGCTCCTGGACGCGCCTGATTTGTTCCCGGTTGAAAAGCGGATTTCACGCGGTTTTCCTGCCCAGACACACCAAGGCGCTGCTCGAAAGGGCTCAAAGCCTAAAGCTGCTGAGATTTGGTAGGGTTTGAAATTCAGGAAGGTCTTCCAAGTTGGGCAGGAGGGTGGAGGGTTAGGATGCCCTGGAAAGAGAGCGAGGAATGGCACAGACTTTCTGGACACAGCAGACTCCGGCCTTCCAGGATTTGAACTCAAACCCTGACGAGGCTTGCGGCATCTTCAAAACTCACGCCTTGCATTCGGTCTAAAGCTCGACTCCAGCTTACTTCTTCAGCCCAAGGCCCACTGCAGAAATAACCCAGTTTGAGACCGCTTTAACTTCCCTCGCTCAATGCTAGGGAATTTTGGGAGCTGTAGTTTTGCGAGACATTTAGCCTTCTCCGTCAGAGAGCTCTGGTGCCACAATAAACTTCAATTCCCAGGATTCCCCTAGCACTGAGCCAGGACAGTTAAAGCGGTCTCAAACTGGATTATTTCTTTGGGACCTGAGTGATACAAGGCCTAAGCAGACTGCCAGAAATAGTGCACATTAAATTGA